ACCCAGTTTTGATTTATTGTAGAGATGAGGTCTCGCTGCCCAGGCAGGTCTCGAACCCATGGGCTCAGGCAATCCACTCACCTCAGCCTCCCAAAGGCGCAGGATTATAGGCTGAGCCACTGAGCCCGGCTTGCAAGTGATTTTATAGGGTAAATTCCAAGTATTGAAATAATTAGGTTAAAGGATACATGCATTTTCAATTCTGACACCAAGAGGCTGCCCTCTAAGAGACCACTGATTATATTCATGTCCATGGTATATGAAAGTACCTGCTTTTTCATACTCTTGTCCGTCTTCTCAAACTAAGGATGTTTGGACAATTTTATACTTACTTATATTCAAAATAGTATGGTTTTATTACAAACTACTTTTTTTTTAAGAGACAGGATCTCACTATGTGGCCCAGGCAACATACACAGACTCCTGGGCTCAAGTGATCCTCCTGTCTCGACCTCCTAAAGTGCTGGGATTACAGGCTAAGCCACCGTACCCGGCTGCCACACTCCTATTTCTATGTGACTTACCTTGCGAATCACAAGTACTTTTTTTTTTGAGTTGGAGTCTCACTCTGTCACCCAGACTGGAGTGCAGTGGCTGCTCCCGGCCACCGCAGCCTCGACCTGCTGGGCTCCAGCAATCCTTCCGCCTCAGCCTTCCAAGTAGCTGGAACTACAGGCACGTGCTACCATGCCTGGCTAATTTTTTGATTTACTGTAGAGATGAGGTCTTGCCAAATTGCCCAGGTGGGTCTCGAACCCGCGGGCTCAGGCAGTCCACTCACCTCAGCCTCCCAAAGTGCGGGATTACAGGCTGAGCCACCAATCCCGGCCACAAGTACTTTTTTAGTCATATAGTCTGAAGATTAATGAGGAACTATAGTTATCTGTTACCTTCCTTGCCTAAAATAGGTATAGACTAAAATGACTAGGAGAAAGGTGAGCAACCTCCCCAAAGAAGGTAAAGTACATACAAAAAACATTCACATAAAAAGAAAAATGATTATGCAAAGGCATGTTAGAAACAAGGGGATACCATGTTTCACCTGTTAAGTTGGGAAGTGAAGTAGGAGTGTCCAAGGCACCTGGCTAGGAAGTGGGGTCGCCCTGGTTCTGAACCCAGTTCTGGCCTCAAATCCCAACTCATGACCGCTGTGCCTGCTTGGACACAAATTCCAGCCTCGTTTGAAAACAGGGTGGGGTGGTTATCAACCCACCTTATTTACTTTCCACCGTTGCTGGAGAACAACAAAATGCTCTTTTGTTGAAATTAAGTGAATAACTAATATATGTAAATGATTAAACTTGACCTGACTGACATATGAGAACAAAGGACAAAAGCCTCGTTTCTTGAGGTGTGTTGCTGGCTATGAGTTTACCAAAAATGTTTACAAGGGATTTTACAGTGAAGATGCAGGGCTCTCATTGCTAGAAACTTGGGAACTCATCATCCTGACTTCACGGCAGAATATCATGTGAGAGACCCAAGAGATTCAAAAGAAAACTATACTTGCTGTAAAAGAAACGTTCATTGCATTTTATATATATTCCTGACTCACGTTCACTATATTTTATAAATTCTTAGTATTTTAAATCCTACTTCAGATCCCGTAGAACTAGGCACATGTCGGGTGCCGGGTAGTAACTGATTGTATAGTTATACAATGTTTTAAGCAGTGTTTGTACTTAGAACTTTGTTAAGCTTTTGTTTGTCCCAATTGCCATGCTGGCTTCTTTTGCTTTCACAACTGCTGCTAGCAGTGTGTGAATGTTAAGCAATAAGCCCCTCCCGGACATTCCTTTGCTCAGATTGCAGTAGACTCTGAGGTGCTAGCCACTCTCCTGGTGAGCTCTATGTTGGTTCAAACCTCCGGCTCCCATGCCAAAGTTAATTTACACACAGTGACTGTGTAAACCTAGCTTATCTGGCATTCCATTCCGCCCGTTGGGCAGTTACTTGTCCATCACAAGTAACTAAGCCAGAGCCCGCGCAGATCGAACTCGAATCAACCAATCAAAGTCTTTGTAACTGCGTCATATAGTTTTTATCCAATCCTGTGTGTACAAGTTTGTAAAGCTATCCCACCCCTTCAGAATTATGTATAAAAGGTGCGTGTTAACCTTTTATTCAGGGCTCTCGTCCCTGAAGTCGCTGTGTCGGCTTCAAACGTGAGCCCAGACTCGAGCCTGAATAAAGACCCTCGTGTGTTTGCATCGGAACTGGCTCTTTGTGGTCTCTCGGATTTAAAATCTTGGGTTTAACAAATGTGCAGCACGTCCATTACTCTGGAAGCCCTAAATTCAGCCCTGATTAACAGATGAGAACAGGTCTCAAAAACACAGGATTGGTGTCTCCAGTGTTTAAACCCGACAGTACATGGCATAAATCCTCTTCCAGGTCAGCAAAGGACTTCTTAAATCAGTGTAGTAGCATAGCCTCAGTGCCCGCTGAAAGCCCTCTGTAGTCTGCAGTTACCCCAGGATGTAGAGATCCTTAATGTGGCCTTCAAGGCTTTGTGTGACCTGACCCCCAAGTGCCTCTCTAGTTTCCTGATACTGGTCCTCATTAAAGTCCAAACTCGCTGCCTTCTTGCCTTCTCTCAGTTCCTGGAACATGCTGTGCTACTTCCAAATTGGTCTTTACAAATGCTGCCTGGAATCCTCTTTGTGGGGGGCCAACCCCTGGAGGTTTTGGGGAGTCCCTGGAAAGATGCGGCGGTGTCGGCGAAACTGGAAGGGATAGATAATAAAAGAAAGACTGGACTCTGTCTAGTGCAGAAGCCGATTCTGTAGGAGGGATAGATATTAAAAGAAAGAAAGATGGAGGGATAGATATTAAAAGAAACAAAGAGAAAGAAAGAAAGTGGACAACTGTTCAATGGATTGAGCAGAAGCCATTTAATGGGACCAACTGTAAGTCTTTTATCCCAAATTTTCACAGGTTAAATCACAAGACTTTCACGTGAACACAAAGCCAAGTGGATGAGGGGCATCCCCCACCCACCAAGTGTTTCCTCAAGCATGAGGAAGGACAATCCCAATTAAATCACAAGACTATTACGTGAACACAAAGCCAGGTGGAGGAAGGGCGTCCCTCACCCACCAGGCATTTTCCCAAGCGTGAGGAAGGACAATCCTAAAATTATCTCACTATTCCTTATGCTTGGTTTATGTTCCTCAAAAGCAATATAACAATTTTAACATAATAATATTCAAATAATAACTTCTAAAGCTTATACATACACAACACCTAATGACTAACTTAAATCCTAATACCTTTCTATTTTGTGCTAATTTTACCTACACTATAGAAACTCTTAATTATAGCTCAAACCAGTTCCTAAAGAATGTGGCCCAGTCCAGAGATCACGCTGAGCCATTTCTAGGAACAATAGATTACAATCTCTTAACAAAATGGCTCTTCTAAAATCCTATATATCTATCTTAATTTCTATAAAAGTTTCTAATTCCTAATCCTAATATATAAAGCTGATCATCAGCAATAAAGTTTCTAAAAATAAAATCCAAATATAAACTGTAAATTGTACTAAGGCCAAAACCACAATAGTAGAAAATGGGAACAATGAAATTTTTAAAGTTTGCTGTATTCTTATTAAACCTCAAAATATCATGATTGATCATGCTTGAACTAACATAATTCCCTGACATTAGGATGACCTATTCTACAATACCTTCTACAAGTAAAATAAATTCAATTTCTATAATAAGTAGAAAAACCCTACACTAACTGTATCTAAAACCGGTTTAAAGGA